TCTTGCCCATAGTGAGAAGTTGGACTCTGATAGATTGAGTGTGTGGACAGGTGTCTTTTATACAGGTAACGAGTTCAAACAGGTGCAATTAATACAGGCAATGAGTGGAGGATAGGAGGGCTTCTTAAAGACAAGCTAACAGGTCTGTGAGAGCCAGAATTCTTGCTGGTTGGTAGGTGATCAAATACTTATTTCATGATATAAAATGGAAATAAATTATTTAAAAATCTTAACAATGTGATTTACTGGAATTTTTTTGTAGATTCTGTCTCTCACAGTTGAGGTGTACCTACGATGAACATTACAGAACTGTCTATTCTCTGTAAGTGGGATAACTTGAAAAGTCAGCAGTGTATCAAATACTTACTTGCCCCACTGTATATGTCAAGTTGAACTCACCTTGACTCGGTTTTGTGTTCAGTCAGAAGGTGGAAGATACAGTACCATCTTAGATGAAGGAAAGACAAAGTGAACTGCTATCTTCCAGCTTTTGTTTGACTAAACATGCCTGATCCAGGTAATCAGCTGTGGGTAGGGCAGGGATAGTTGGAAAATAAGCAGGGCAGCGGCCCCCAGGGGCCGGGTATTGGCCGGCCCTGCTCTAGAGTAAGTCACATTAGCTTATAGCTGTTTGTTTGTTTGTTTAGTTCAAGGAAGAAACGACACTGAAGTTTATGATTTGTGCCTACTGCTGTTTGTCTCACTCAGTCTCCCCTCTCCTCATGCAGGCTCCATGTTTTCTCAAGCCATGAAGAAATGGGTCCAGGGCAACTCAGATGAGGTAAGGAGGCAAGATGTTAAGTGATCATAAATGACTCAGTGGTCTGAGGCATACAGCAGGACACTCAGTGGCATGTATTCAGATTCACGTTCTGACATCACCTCATGACGTGATGTAGAAGATTAAAAGTCTCTGGGGAATTAAGGTTTCTGATTGTGCCGTGACTCTTGCTAACCAGGCCCAGGAAGAGATGGCATGGAAGATCGCCAAGATGATTGTTAATGACGTCGTCTACCAGTCAAATACCAACAGCCCCATCAAGGCCACCAAGGTACAGACCCTGCCTCAATGGTCCCACTCCTGTGCACTGATGTGTAGGATGACTACAGTTCTTGTCTGTTTTCTTTTGTTTATCTGCAGCTATGACTCCAACAGTCCGACACTCCCTGCAGTTTCCAGCCAAGCCAGTGACAAACTGTATACAAGGTTCACCCTGCAACAAACTGCTTTACTCTGAGAACTAGGAAAGCATTTGATCACTTCCTCAACCACCTTGTGTGTGGCTATGAACTTGGGTGAGCCAGGCATGGCCTAATGGAAAACATCATTGCTCCAATCTTCCAACTTCATAACACTATAAAAGGTACATGTGTAGTCACCAAAAGTGAAGCAACGTGAGGTGCTTGCATTAGACTGGAGGAAGGAAGCCTTGATCATGATGCTCAGAGAACATTGGCACAGAGAAGCAGCCTCAGACTGCTGGTGCGTTGCAGTTTGGAAAACATTTTATCTTGAACCTATAGAGGACATGACAAAGACTGAATGACCCTCACTCCCTCATGACATGCCTCCCACACCTTTTATAACCATTCCTTGTTTTTAGATGAAGAAGTCAGCTACTTAAGCAGATGAAACTTTGGTTTGGAGTGTTTTGCAGTTTTAACATAGGCTTCCCTCAGCCTCCCTGGAGTAGTTGTGTCTACTGTGCACTCGTGTAAGCTGTCCTACCTTGGCTGTTTACATACTGTAGAACATTTGGGAAGGTGACAGTGTAACAGAACCGGACCTAATTCAGTTCTCGGACTGGCTGACCTCCTGTGTAGACCTGTCACCTTCATGGAGTGCAGAAGAAATGCTCTCTAATGAACTAAGTGCTCTGGTTGTGTTGAAAACTCCATGTCATAAATATAGATAGATTGGTTTCTGGTTTATCCCATATATTAAAGGTAGTCTTTTTTTTATGGTGGTCACTTTTTTTTTTTAATTACACATCACTGAAACAAATGTCAGTGATAACTGGACTGTTCAACTGGAAAGTGTGCTCAGTGAATTAAACATTTTAAATCTTTTTTTTTTTTGAGCCTTACCAAATTGTAAAAAAGAACCAGAAAAGACTCTTGGTACTATGTACCAGTAATGTTTTCTGATATCTATGTGTACTTGTTCTATAATATATTTAATTTCTGTTTGATTTAAATACACATATTATGAAATGTTTTTGTCAGTTTTCATTTTCCTTCAGATATATTTCAGCTGAAGTGTTGGTATGTTATTGTGATTTCAACCCACTGCTGGCTGCAATTATTCTGATACAGAAAGTGTGTTGTGTTTACAGGCAGGATTTCTTTATTAGTATTTCAAAAGAGTATATATACTGTAGGTAGTTAAAATATGGGGAAAGTGATGTCCAGGGCCAGCAGCTTTAGCATTTGGCCAGAAGGTGGCGATGTTGACTGTATTTCTATGTTGGAGTAACAGGAAAAAAATTGCACACTATATTTTTCTTCCAGTGGCCAGATGCATTTTCTCAGTCCATAGGATTTGATCACACTACCAGTTGAGAAGACCGAAAGAATAGGTCTCATCTGGTCAGAGGTGTACACAGTGTTCAGTGGAACTAGTTGCCTTTGCTCTTTCCAAGGCCTCTTTTAACCTGGAAAATAGCACTAGTGTCTGTTACTGATAAAAGAGAAGACTTCCCCAACACACCTCAAATGGATAAACCAATGACTGGCAGAAATTTGTGTATGATTAGATGTGCTACTTTGGGGTTCAAGGACCACCAAGGTTTGAATGCTTGGATGTCCTTTTCAAGACTTCTACATCTTAGAATTGATGTTCACACAGAAATAGGACTGTAGATGTTGTTACCCTATCATTATCTCTGAACACTACTTTTACAAATGAGTCTCAGCAGCTAGTACCAAAACAGCAGCCCAGCTCCGTGAGCTTCATTGGTCTTGGTTTGGAAGTACAGTATAGTGAAATCATTTTTAGAATATGTTTAGAATTAGCTCTTACTACAGGCTGCATGGAAAGCCACATACAGTACACAAAACATAGGTGTCGGTGGAAGATGCACCAGGGAAGTTGCAGCTGATGGTCAGTGCCTTAACCCTTGTGCTCAAGCAATGCCCTGCAAATTACATGGGTTTTTTTTTTTTTAAATTAATGTGGGTTTTCCTGGTTTAGCTACACTGATGATACTGTATGTGTTTCCAACCTCACAACAGGAGATGGCTACACTGAGTTGTACTGTACTAGCAAACTGTTAAGAGAAATGTACTGTGTTTCTCACCAAATTAGCAGAACTTTATTAGCAGTTCACAGCAGTACACTTTGCGGCGTAGAAAAGTGGAAAACCATTTGCACCATGCCAGCATGTACCATTAGAGTGCAACAGTGACAGTCTGGGGTGTAGTCATGCTGAGCCATGCTGTGAACAGCCACAAACAGATGAACTGTGCTGGCACAGTGTAAATCAGCTAATCACCTTTATTGTCCAAGTATGTTACACACAAGGAATTTGTTTCTGGTACAGAACCGAGGCAGTCTTCTGCAGCACCAACTCAACCGATGGCTCTAATCATCGGGGGCAACTTGGGCGTTCAGTGTCTTGCCCAAGGACACTTCGACACATGGACTGCAGTGTGACCGGTTTTCCACTTTACTGCACAGCAAAGTAAAGTTGTTTACCTAAACTGCTAATAAAGCTCTAGTAACTGGAGAAAACGCTGCTTTTCCTATAACTTTTGCACAAAGGAGCATCCCACCAGTTTCCTAGTGGAAAGTTTAAAAGTAAACCTGCGCAAACTTCATTAGCAGTAACTTAACACATGACACAGCTTTGATATAGAACTGAAATTGAACAGTGACCTGGAAGCTGATATCTTAAAGGACAAACAGAAACACAGGAGTGAAACTAACTTCCGGGCCACATAAAGTCAGGTAGACGCAAAAGTAGCGAGATCTTAGCACACTGAGATTTTTACAAATGGAGAGTTGTATGTTTTCTCCAATATGGACACATGTTTAGAACCCAGCGAAACAGTGAATGGGGGGAGACTATCTTGGGGTGGCTGTGCTCAGCTACCAAGGAGGAGCACAGCAGCACAACTTTGTGCAACCATCTCTTGTGACTTTATAAACACATATCAGTGTAGCTGAAGCGGACAAACCCAGGTAAATAAGAAAGCCTAATATACACATTTTCAGGGCATTGATGTAAATTATGGTGTTAAAGCGCTGACCACCAACTGCCACTTTGCCTTTGGTTGGGCCCATGTAGTGGTGTCTGAAATTATTGGACATGCATTTTAGAATAAGTTTGGTTTGGTATACCATCCCTTAGTTATAGGCCTAGGTTGAAGGGCATTCCATGACGCTGAGCTCCTCTCCTCCCCTCTCAATTTTATTTTTATATGCCATCATTACATGTCATTAACTGTTTGTCTCCTCTCTCCCATAGTGTGTCCTCTGTACCCCTGTACCTTTCTGCTGGTTGCCCTGGCGGAGGTTTCTTCCATTACAGAGAGTTTTTCCTCCCCCTGTCACCAAGTGCTGCTGAAGGGGGGATTTGTTGGGTTTTTCCTTTATAATAATAGTAAGGTCTAGACCTTACTTTGTAAAGTGTCCTGAGTTTTGTTGTGATTTGGCGCTACACAAATAAAACTGAATTGAATTTTTTTGGCATTCACTAAGACCACTGATGCATATGTGGCCCCCAGATTTCCTGTCATCTCTGTCTGTAATAAGTACTTCTTAAAATGTATTTAAAATTATTTGACTGCACTATACTCCAAGTCCAAAGAAGTACTTGCAGTGTTGGATTACTGTCCATACTAGTTGCAAAGAGATTCCTTTTTAAAGCAATTTCATTATAAATGATAGTAAACAACATCTACAGTCCTATTTCTGTGTGACATTGATATTAGATGTGGGCATCTTTAAGAGTTGGTGCAGAATTCCCTCTTTTTGTTTCCATCTGCCCACCACACCTCTCACTCTGTGGAAGTACAACGAAGGAATTTTGTTCTTAAAACAGACTTGAATGACACCTACTTGACCTCTTTAACTCAAACTGCAGAAGCCAGATATTGGTTTGTGGATTTTAGAAGTCCCTTTTACACAGAACAGAGACTGCAGCACTTCTCCTCCATCACCTACAGACGTGGACACAATTGTTGGTACCCTTCCATTAAACAGAAACTCACAATGGTCACTGAAATAACGTGAAACTGACAAAAGTAATAATAAATAAAAATTTACTGAAAATTAACTAATGAAAATCAGTCAATGCTTTTGAATTGTGGTTCAACAGAAGAATTTTAAAAAACAAACTAATGAAACTGGCCTGGACAAAAATGATGGTACCCCTAGAAAGGATTGAAAATAATTTGACCATAGACATGTTAAACTAAAGTGTGTCCTCTAATTAG